TTCCTTAAACGGGCTGCTGTAATCCCTGCCGCAGGGGCAATCTAGCGTGTAAGAGTGGGGATGACCCTTAATTGCCTTCTTAATTGTGATGTGTGTCGGCAAGCAGGGGTAATATTCTAATTTGCCGCGAGACCACCCTTGGTTCCTAGATTGTCCCTGCCGCCCTACACGTTACCGCGTGTGTAGCGAGATTGGGGCAATTTCTCAATAAGTTGGTTGGTAACTGGCACACGGAGCGCACGTATATCGAGCAAGATTGCGGCATATCATAATGAGCATGAAGTTTGGTCTCGAGTGATAAAACTATATAAAGACTGGCTCCCGCATGTGGGTTAAAAAACACACAAACATTATTTATTTACAACACATTTCTTTCTGATGCCAATTCTTCACCCAGTATTTCCTTTTTTGCGCTAACACCATAGAAGGAGCCAAGGGCACCTACCGATCTTTTTTACACAATTTATATAATATAAAAGTGTCGCCAGATTTAAGTTGGGTCAGGTAGTTATAATATGCAAAATTAAATTATCGGATCAAATTTTGTTTACTTACACAGTTTAATTTCGCGACAAGCTTTTATATTATATAAATTGTGTAATGAGTAAAAGTTTAAAGGGAAAATTTTATTTTAATATTTTTAGTGCATTTAAGTAAAAGATTGTTTTTAAATAGTTTTTTACTTTAAATTTATTTTTTGATAACATTGTGGCCATTATCAACGCGTGTGTTTAGCTCAACCTGTACCCAAACACTGAATAGCAGGCACGTGTGTAGAGACAAGCCGATATTGCTCCGATCGCCGTGCGCGCTCAATGAGGGCTATCACGTATGAATCCGCCGCTAGAGGCGCTAGTGTAGCGTGAGGTCTCCGAAATGTCAAATGTTATTGCTTGTTGGTTGACTACGCGGGTTTATTTCTAATTAAAATAATGTTGTGAATAATTGGTAACAATTCGGCTTAATTATGGCAAATATGAGTTATGTGGCAATGAATGTCAGTTATTAAAAATTTGAGCTTAGAAAAATGATTATGTTCCCATTTTTTCCGAATAAAACGGAACTGCGCGTCACTGTGGCATGGCCTATTATGTTTAGGATATGGTTCTTTTGTGTTAAAATACGATCTAAATGTAACCTTTGATTTCATGTGCGTATTAATAAACTTTAAAAGTTACAATTTAGGACCTCACTCAACAGTAGCGCCCTCTGGTGAGGTAGAAAACGGTAGCCCTGTGGCAGGGTATCAGTAGCCCGCATTAGAGTAATACCTAAAGACATAAGTATATCTCTCTCATTGCGCTGACGTGTCACCCATCTGCCTGCTTTCGAGATATTTCTTCTTTGACCAAATCAATGTCTCCCAATTGATCTTAATGTCCAAATGCGTGTCACGAACTGTGTTTGTGTGTTTTCGCAAATCATAACTTAAAAAAAAGGTTAAAAATGTGCAAAGCCAAAGCAGACAATGGTTAAGAGTTTATATTCGCACGTGAATAGGAAATACCAAATAAATAGAAGGTACTTACCTGCTTAAGTTTTTTGTATGTCACCATCGAATCAATATTAACATCACATAATTTTATGATTTCATAGGTTTTATACATAGATAAATGATTGGTCTCGCTTCACTCGAAGCGAGACCAATCATTCATCTATGGTTTTATATTATTTCGTTTTTCACCCAATATAAATAATATAATTAACGATAGAAGCTGTTCAGTTTTTGTATTTAAAGCGATTTGTATATATTATATTTTTTTGTATTATAAAAAATGCCATTAGCATATTTATATTGTGTATGATAAATAATTTAAGCAGATTTTATTTTGGTTTGTGGAAATTTGATTAAAAGGAAATAATACGGAAAATTTATGCGTTTTAATATAAATTAAACCCAATATTATTTAAAGTGGCTAGCTGTCGCTTCATAACACGTAGTTCCTTTAGTGGGTAGAATTTCGAGTGTGTGACTGAACCTCCATCAGAAACAGGGGACAATCTCGACAATCTGCACTGTGGATTTAGGTACATACCTAATTCCGCAGTGCACATTGTCGAGAACAACATTTATTTAAGGGTCCAACTTGGTGGGCTAGGTTGGGTTTTGTTAGGATAAATACAAACCAAATCTGTTTATTTTATACATTGTCGGAGGCCCAGCCAGGGGCGTAGCCAGAATTGTATTCATGAGGGCAGCGGTAATTACAGGTAGCAGGGGCGTGCTGCCTTTCGCAGCCTGCCGCCGCCCCATTTTAAGGCAGGGCAATAATATTTTAAGGTCCTCCCTCTAACTACAGCCCTGGGGTCAGCAGGAACTCTATACAATCCCTAGGTATTGTATATATTGCCTAGGCGAAGAATAAAATGGAAAATAATATTTCATACATTGCCTAGACACCCCAGGCGTTCTATAAATTGTCTAGGTATTGTTTAGTATACCTGAATTATACAGATTGCCGGTGACATATACATGAAACTACTGGCAGTCGCGGCGCAAGACCTAAATTTAATGTGGGTAAGGTATATTATGCGAGGCCCTCTGATGGTGCAAGAAGGGTTTATAAAATAAAAAAATCGGCCAAGCGCGAGTTGAACTCGCGCCTGAAGGGTTTCCATACCATTATCTATACAACGTTAGACACTTTATTTTTAACATAAAAAAATATCGATCATCCAAATATATGGGCTCCAATACAACGTGTTTTTTTTGCCATTTTTGCTCGATATATATATATATATTTTTTGTTTTTTATGTGAAAATACAAATAAATATTCTGTAAATATTTCAAACGTCTGCCTGGTGCCGTTATTAATATAGAGGAAAAAAAAACACGTTTGTAGTATGGGAGCCTCTTAAATATTAATTTTATTCTGTTTTTAGTATTTGTTGTTATTAGCGGCTACAGAAATACAGCACTTGTGAAAATTTCAGCTATTTAGCTATCCCAGTTTATGAGATACAGTCTGGTGAAAGACAGACCGACAGTGAAGTCTTAGTAATAGAATCACTTTTGAACCCTTTGGATACGGAACCCAAAAATACTTTAAATTAAATAGTTTTTTAGTCATTACATAGCTCTGCGAAATCAAAAATATCAATAACCCTACTCACAGTCAGAAACAACACCACCAAAAGGTAATGTTATTTCACTGTGTTCTTCTGTAAGGTTAGACGACCTCCGTGGCCGAGTGGTTTGTACGCCGGGTTTCATTTTTTTGAATGAAGGTGCGATAGGGCAGCGGTAATTACAGGTAGCAGGGGGCGTGCTGCCTTTGCAGCCTGCCGCCGCCCCATTTTAAGGCAGGGCAATAATATTTTAAGGTCCTCCCTCTAACTACAGCCCTGGGGTCAGCAGGAACTCTATACAATCCCTAGGTATTGTATATATTGCCTAGGCGAAGAATAAAATGGAAAATAATATTTCATACATTGCCTAGACACCCCAGGCGTTCTATAAATTGTCTAGGTATTGTTTAGTATACCTGAATTATACAGATTGCCGGTGACATATACATGAAACTACTGGCAGTCGCGGCGCAAGACCTAAATTTAATGTGGGTAAGGTATATTATGCGAGGCCCTCTGATGGTGCAAGAAGGGTTTATAAAATAAAAAAATCGGCCAAGCGCGAGTTGAACTCGCGCCTGAAGGGTTTCCATACCATTATCTATACAACGTTAGACACTTTATTTTTAACATAAAAAAATATCGATCATCCAAATATATGGGCTCCAATACAACGTGTTTTTTTGCCATTTTTGCTCGATATATATATATTTTTTTTATTTTTTATGTGAAAATACAAATAAATATTCTGTAAATATTTCAAACGTCTGCCTGGTGCCGTTATTAATATAGAGGAAAAAAAAAACACGTTTGTAGTATGGGAGCCTCTTAAATATTTATTTTATTCTGTTTTTAGTATTTGTTGTTATTAGCGGCTACAGAAATACAGCACTTGTGAAAATTTCAGCTATTTAGCTATCCCAGTTTATGAGATACAGTCTGGTGAAAGACAGACCGACAGTGAAGTCTTAGTAATAGAATCACTTTTGAACCCTTTGGATACGGAACCCAAAAATACTTTAAATTAAGTAAATAGTTTTTTAGTCATTACATAGCTCTACGAAATCAAAAATATCAATAACCCTACTCACAGTCAGAAAAACCACCAAAAGGTAATGTTATTTCACTGTGTTCTTCTGTAAGGTTAGACGACCTCCGTGGCCGAGTAGTTTGTACGCCGGGTTTCATGGTGTCGCCGACTCGAGAGGTCCCGGGTTCAAATCCCGGTGGGGGCAGATGTTTGTGTGGTGAACACTAGCATTTGTACTCCAGTCATGGAAGTTTTATATGTATTTCTGTAAAAATATACTTATATATGTACAGTATTCTATCCGTTACCCTAGTATCCCATAACACAAGCCTTATAGTGCTTACTTTGGGGCCAGGCTATTTGGTGTGAGTGTTGGAAATATTTATTTATATTTATTTATTTAAGGTTACTCCTTAGATGGGCGCTCAAATTTGAGCGGGATATCTTATAACTAACTCGTAGTCATAACTCGCGATCCTCTACTGAAAGTAAGTCAGTACCAAGTCTATTAATAAAACTGAACCCCTATCTATTTAACGGAGCCCCATTGCTCACTCACGGTCACGTCTATTCGTAAGTCCGGTTTGGAACTACTGTCCCAGCTACAATTTTTTTTTTATAAAATTACACATTATTTCTTCTCTCGATTCAGGGACTTGATTCTGTTGAGGAGTTCTCCTAGTACCTACTTCACTATCAGCTTCATTTTGAATTGTTATGCAACAAATCGCTAACCAATATTTTTTTTGTTGTGGGCAACTCGGCCCCACTGAACGGACAACCCAGCCCCACTAAACGCACAACCCAGCCCTTGGTCCACCACTATTTACCGCCTAAGGGTCAATTCAGCCCACGCCACAATATGGCTTAAAAGTCTACTCAGTATTTATTGTGACGTATTAGTTTTAAGTCTAGTTAAGTTTTAGTTAATGCCCATGAATAATAGTTGATATAAAAAAACCATAGTATATTTCAATTTGTTTGCAACGCAATGAGGAAAAGGTTGTATGGCTATCCAGAAAGAAAAATAAAATCTTCTCATTGTTTTATTCAGAATTTATTTTTTCTGAAAACTTTTTATACCTATTAGTTGTTTTAAACATTCCTATAAAGATAGATCAATTTCATTTTAACACTTGTGATTCAGTCAACAGTAGCACCATAGTCAGCCAACAGCAGGATATTGACAGGAGCATTTTACAGCAAGACGCCCTCTAGAATCGTTATGTAGATATAAGAACTCTGGAAGCGCTTAGATTTTGATTTCTTCGACATTGGCTAAGCTAGGCATTTGTTTCTTTTCCCTAGGCTGCCCAGCCGTCCAGTTAAACTTCGACATTCAGATTTTTTTAACCGTATAGTATTTTTTCCTATTCTAGGACGGACAGAGAGGTTAATAGGGTGGGCACGCTATCTCCCATAACCAACCATAAAAAAGCCGTAGCTAGAAGGGGGCAGATGTGCCCACACCTGCCCCCTTTTAGCTACACCGTATTTGTTGATGTTAGCTGGAGTATCCGTTCGCTTCCACTTTCTCTCTGACTTCATCGAACATGAGTTTGACGAGGTTGTCTAGGTCGATCTCTGGCCTCCAGTTCCAATCGCGTCGCGCCTCGCTGTCGTCGAACACCTGCGGCCACGTGTCCGCTGAAAAAGTTTGAACAACTTGTTTTAATATTTGCTTACTCACATCACATGAGCTGACATATTTGTTACTTTAGACTGGAAATTTGAAAAATTAATAGTGAACGTCCTAAATTTTTGTTCAAATAACTATACAGTAGGGAAGGCAGTGCTAAATAAGGTCAAGGCTAGAATGACAGCAAACCACAAATATATCTGCTTAGTCATTGGTTATTGCTATCTAATGCATTTTTTATTTTTTAGTGACAAGAACTATGTCAAAAATCGATACCGCTAAACCAATATTGAGATACAACTCCAACTTTAGCGTAGCAGAACGGACACATGGATCGGCTGCCCTAGACGTTCTACCCTATATAAAGGGCTCGAGTATGGCGACTACTTCTCCACCCCCAGGGGGACAAGCCTTAGAGGCCTTCCCGGCCAGAGGCGGCCCCTACGGGTGTTTTTTAGTCAGTACGAGTCTGACATAACCTTGCAGCCCGCTGTAGGGTATCCATGAGGATTTCTCACCCGCTCCCCCGTATGGGAGGAAATAAAAAAACAATAAAGGTGACTACTTCATAAGGTACATGGTTAAGTACGTTATGTTTTGGATTCTGAATAAGTACACAAGTTGGGCAATCACATAGATAAGAGATGGACTGGTTTTTATTCCCTGATTCCCAGTCCAACTGTAAAAGCCAAAGTAAAAGCGGGCCTTATTTGAATTCGATGCATAAAGGAATACCTTCCTTCCCCCTTGGTCCATTTTTTTAACCATCACAAAAGGAGAGTTTAGAAAAAAGTATAGGTAATATTTTATCCGTTTTTATTATTGGTTAAGAAAACCAGTTATGAAAATCTTATTACATAATCAGTAAAGAAAAAGTGAAATATTCCCTATTTTTTAGGTTTTTTAAAATTTAAAAAAAAAAACCTAAAAATTTTCATCTCAAGATGAAAGAGCTTGAAATCCTTATTATTTGCGAAGATATGCCAACTCTAAACGGCCATATTTTACCAAGGAGATTGCTCAGCTTCCATACATGTTTGGCCTAAAGACCAATAATCATGCAAAATTGTTTCCTAGATTAGAAATTATATATAAATTACTGTAGAAACGAATATTATTGACGGACACCCCTGAGAACTTCTTTAAACCATATATACTGAACATATTATAAAAATAAAAAACAAATAAGCTTAAAGTCTAACATATATACAGATTATAATGTGTTTATGGAGGTGTTTGGCGAAAAATGTATGGCAATAGACTTTATGATGTCGCCTACCATCTATAATAATTGTCTGAGCACATTTGCATCTAGTGAAAATGATAATATAGTTGTGGATATTAATACCACAGTGTAATAAAAAAATAATTTATTGTATCGATCTTTACAAAATAGATTTGTTTTTATGTTATATAAACAACTTCGATCAGTCTTTGGCTGAATGTTACTACACCCATAGCCATTAAAAATGATTCGTATGTTTTCCAAACCGGTAAAATTAAAAGTCCTTTTTAAAGTAAATATACAAAGGTGTCCGTTGAAATCTAATGACTGTAAATTAAATTATAAATTACGCCAAGAATTACAGTGTTTGTCACATTTTTTTGTGCATTTGGGCCAATTTGAGCAATCTCCTTTCTTATCAAAAGGAAAAAAAAACAATTTTAAAACAAAATTAAGTAAATTATAAAGTAGTAACGATCATTTCAATAGGGGGTGATAATAATTTATAAGATAATTAACGCTTTAAAGCAACTTTCATAATGGCCAATCTTAGGATGGGTGACCATCCAGAAATGTATTATTATCTCGAGCTCCTATGTTGCTGCTCTCTGCATCTGAAGTCGTTAGCACCAACTAAGCCGCATTGGGCCCGCGTGGGGGCTCATGACATATAGGCTTATAATAAGTCCGCATAGTAAAAAAATGATCTAGCTCATATATTATTATCAATGTCGTCGTTCATTATTGTATAAAATTTATGAATTTTTCAACGAACTAAACCCATATAAAACCTTAACAACAATTTCAAAAGTTACAGCAATTATTTACTTAATTGGCCTTATTGATTCATTTTTAAATTAAGAGAGGACCACCGCACCGTAGGTCCTTCTTAAATTTAGTGTGACATTTCTATTTTTAGTGAATATATGACACTTAGAACACTATAGTAATATAAGTTATTTACGGGATTGTTACCATGTACCTTATTTTTAGCGATTTTCCGATATTATATATCCCGTAAATAACTTATATTACTATAATGTTAGTGACCATGAAAGTTTAAAACAATATATTTAGAACACGTTTCAGAATACCAGTTAATCACCTAAATCTAAGTTGAATAACTTAGCGACGTCAATTTTAAATTTAGACATAGTGTGTCATTACAGATTACTAAATTGAATTTGACAAGTCTATATCTAATTTAAGTTAGTTTTAAATATAAGTTGGCACGACAGAATTGGACCTACTAACTACTTAGATTCATTCTTACCTATTTCTTGTCTACTGTCAGGTTGATAGCTTATTTTGATTTCCTGTACATGTTTCGACATGGCCTGTACCAATTCTTCTGGTGTGAAGCTCATTGCAGTGACATTATAACATCTTCTGAGGAGTTGTTCATTTGGTACCTCCAAATACTCTGATAGAGCCCTTAGCGCGTCTTTCAAATGCATCATTGGAAGCCGCGTTTGTGGATTCAAATAGCACTTGTATTGACCTTTACGAATTATCTCGTGGAAAATGGCAATAGCATAATCTGAAATAATAAAACTTGAATGCGTTAATCGTAAACTTCATATTTAACCTTATCGTGGTTTGTGGCAATTATAATAATAAATACTCCAAACGTTCTGATATCGATTGTTGCGTGATAAGCACAAAATATTTGTTTCCAAAAAAAATATTAATAGGTATGGTACTCTTACGCGCTGGTTCCACACGTTGGTTTAATTTAGTGAGGCGTACATCAAGACCAATGTGAAGATGTCCGATACGGAAATCGAAATTGCTCTATGATTTTGTTTATGTAACACAAAAAAGTGAAATATAAAAATATTTAACTTTCCTCTGTGTTTATAGTAACTGTAAACATAAATTGGAGCAATAAAGCTGTTCATGAGCTCATAAGCGAACCAATTCGGATTAAAAATATCGTCTGTCGATGATCCAGAACGAGTAGTCACTAATTGTCTTTCTATAAAAGCGATATGTGATCATTAATGATTCTCGCTTTTTCTTTAAACTTCAATTGAGTAAATCGTTCCCATATTCTGTTGAATGGTGCGCCGAGTATCAGTTAATAAATTTATGATTCTTTCGAGTTACGTCCTATACTATTGGATTTGCATGGTAAAGTTTTATTTTTTTTACAACTTTTTCATTTACGACACGAGCCGGCCAACTACCGACGCTCGCCCCAACGTTGGGAGTAATGCCATTTTCTAGATCCACACGTTGGGCGAGTGGCGTCTGGGGTGAATGTTGAAACCGACGTGTCGAGCCGGCCTTACTCAGTACAACATTAGCTAGTGTACCCAGTGAAAAATAATTAAAATGGGCCAGCTGTTTACTGTAGGTGCCTATAGTACGGTACAGGACGGGTGTTGCAACGCTGGGCCGATGGTTTCTGCCGCCCCTCGCAGCCTGCCGCCCCGGGCTACAACCCCTATTGTCCCTGTGTTTTCGAAAACTAATCTAGAAATTGACGCAATGGCTTCCTCAATAATTCTTTAGACCTTCTTTATATTTTTTAATGTCCTAGATATATAAATTTAAAATAAAACAAGGTCCCAGGCTCAGTTCTTGCTAATAGTGGTGTCATTACGGTTAGTGACGATTTCTTTGAATTTTTAGATTTCTTTGTCTGAAGTTTTTCATTCATGCTTACCCACCAAGCATGAATGAAAAACTTCAGACAAAGAAATCTAATAATTATATGTCCTGTTGTGGTATTTATTATTTTTAGGAAAAATACAAACTAGAGTTTAGCAACAGTCGCGGCAAATAGGCCGACGATAATAACGATGTTACGTATTATAGAAAACTTGGAAAAAGCTTACCGGTTGTCCCTCCTCCGGGTGGGTCGCTAGAAATAATACCGGGAAATCTCAAACAGCGAAAATCCAGTCCAAATTTGTGGTAATAGTATTCTCCCAACAGTTCCGCGTGAACCTTCGACACGCCATAAATCGTCCTCGGCCTCTGTATCGTGACATTTGGCGTCGGGTTTCTTGGAGAATCTGGCCCAAACGCTCCAATTGTGCTAGGTACGAAAATCCTCAACTTGTACTGTTTCGCTAACTCGATCACGTTGTGCATTCCTTCTATGTTAACTCTGACTGCTAAAGGCACATTCTGTTCACCAATTGCGCTGAGCAAAGCCGAGAAGTGAATAAGCCAATCAACCCTGTGGTTCACGACTACTTTTTGTAGTCCCTTAAAGTCCAAAATGTCCACGAATATGTAAGGTCCATCGTTGATTATCTCTTTAGACGGTTTGATAATATCTGATAATATAACGTTTTCTCTTCCATATTTGTTGCGTAGATACTTTGCGCATTCAACACCGAGTTGACCTAGACCCCCTGAGAATATAGAAAGGACATATTTATTAATAGATGGACAAGTAGGTACATACGTTTTTATTTATTACTGCTTGTTAAACAATTTGAGATGAATGACAAATTATTTAACATGTAATGTACCACTAATAGTTAGTGGTAACTAGTATGTAATAAATAAATAAAAATAATTTCATAAAATAAATGTAATAAAATTAAAGGGCTATTTAAGATATTTTATACATTATTATGTTTCTTAAATAGACCTTTATATTTTTATGCGGCAAAATAATTATTTCGCCGTTATTTATTTAATGTCTTGTTAGTACAATGCAATGTTACTAAGGAACCCTAAGAAGGTAGGTACGCCTGCGAGTCCAACTTCTGTTTGATCGATATTTTAGGGTTCTATACCTCAAAAGGAAAAAACGGAACCCTGATAGTATCACTTTGTTGTTCGTCAGTCTAGAGTCAAGACACTCAGAGAAGAAGGCGAAGCTGTAAAAAAAAGATTGCTCAAATTGGTCTAAATGCCCAAAAAATTTTGACATACACGGTAATTCTTGGCGTAATTTATAATTTAATTTACAGTATTAAATTATAAATTACTTTACACCTTGTAAATACATCATCATACTAAATATACACCTTTGTATATTATATTTACTTTAAAAAGGATTTTTAATTTTACCGGTTTGGAAAACATACGAATCATTTTTAATGGCTATGGGTGTAGTAACATTCAGCCAAAGACTGATCGAAGTTATTTATATAACATAAAAACAAATCTATTTTGTAAAGATCGATAAAATAAATCATTTTTTTATTACACTGTGGTATTAATATCCACAACTATATTATCATTTTCACTAGATGCAAATGTGCTCAGACAATTATTATAGATGGTTGGCGACATCATAAAGTCTATTGCCATACATTTTTCGCCAAACACCTCCATAAACACATTATAATCTGTATATATGTTAGACTTTAAGGTATCTATCTATGGGCCTACGTTCCCTGACTATAAATTAATAAATAAATATAATTATGAGGTGTGATACACTAAAAATCTAAAATATGGTTATCTTAAAAACATAACAAAAATAATGAAGCTATAGAACCTAAATCTCTTAGCTTTCTTTGGTTAACGAGAGTTTAAAAATTCTCTCTAATCTGTGGCTCATTCACAATCATCACACAGTTTCTGTCACAGAGTACTTTATTATAACCGGAAATGACACCTGATTTTAAAAGTTACTCATAAGCATTAGCTTTAAAAACAGGCAACTATCTGTTAATGTACATGCTCTATATACCTGAATCTAATCCATAATTTCGGTACTTGGCTTGATTTCCCTAGTTTACTATATAACTTATTTGTTTTTTATTATTTTAATATGTTTAGTGTATATGGTTTATAGAAGTTCTCAGGGGTGTCCGTCAATAATATTCGTTTCTACAGTAATTTATATATAATTTCGAATCTAGGAAACAATTTTTCATGATTATTGGTGTTTAGGCCAAACATGTATGGAAGCTGAGCAATCTCCTTTGTACCCAACCCTCGGAGAGTGAGTTCGACTGTGTTTTGTTTCATTGATTATGCCCTGACAAGTAACTTAACACGTGTAAACAACTAAACTACTGTCACAAGTCAGTACCTACACAAATATGTTGTTCGCAAAACATGAATGAACATACGCAAAAGGTACATAATTATCTGCTAACTACCTACGTAGGTAGCTAAATATTTGTTTTGTTTACTAGATCATACAAATAACCTAGTAAATGCGTAATAGAACAAAATTCTAGTCTAATAATCATAATAAGCTATAAACTGTGTCAATAATAACTGTGCTATATACTATTGGTAGTGGCTAACTTTTTTCACGAATGACGGAAAAATTCAATAAACACGAATATACTCGAACATATATTTTGTTTGCATAGACTCGGCTGTTAAATTTAATTCCGAACAATATACTTATAAGTAAGTAGTAAGGTACACGTTTTTGTCATAAGAAGCGGAAAGGAATGGCGATCTCCATAATTTTTACGCAAGTTATTATATCAGAGTTATTTAAATCAAATCCTTTCACAGCCTGACAGTATTCCAAAATGGCAATAAAATATCGTTTAAATTTAAAATATTTGTAAGACACACAAATGTTTAGGAACATTTATCATCATAATTGTAAAAGCCAACAGGATCATTAAAGCTTATGTCATTTCTGCTTTTAAATATTTGCGTAAAAGTTTTAACTAAAGATATTTGTGACTTAAATAAAATCTAATAATTCATGCGTTAGTATTGTCATGTCGACTGGAGAGAAAGAAAAGCATAGAATGCGCCATCTGATAACTTTCCCGTGCAAACATAGTGGGTCAGTTCGGGTCGGGGGTGCTTACTCTTCTTATTTCCAATGTTACCTGAATTATGGCATTTTTCGACTGGACAAGCAGTATTTAGTAATAAAGTTAGGTTCCTCCACAGAACCCAAAAAACTGTACTATGGGTTGCTAATTCTCTCGAAACTCTTATTAGTTGATATATTTTTGATCTGCATATGCCTAACTAAAAGATGGGACTCATATACCATAAGAGAGATGCTCACCGATGGCTCATATTTTTTTTAATAAAGTAATAAGAGAGGCAGGGCATTGCTAATTTTGGGGAGTCCGTCTGGGGAAGTAATCACTTTGCAGGATACCAAACTGAATTTCCAACTACCAATTGATGGTACCGTGTTTTTGTGGGTAATAGTCAGGTTTCTATGGCTCAACACTGTAGGGGATTAGCCCGATGGGGTCAGGGTAGGCCGCTTATCATGAGGTTGATCATAAACTTGTTTGCGACCCTGTTACATAAACAAAATCTTATATTATACGTAAATTTATACGTACTTTTCTTATAACTTGTAACCATATAAAATGGCACGTTTTATGAATCACGTGTACAGCAAGTCACTTTCATTTTCACGTTGACTTCTTTGCTCGTGTCGTCGTCCGGGCCGCGACTCAAAACAACTACATACGTACATTTATTTTAAGTGTATTATATAAAAACTTACCGGTGATCAATATTTTTGGTGGCGATTTATTTAAAGATTTTACTGAATAATATCTAATATTATATTTCAACGTCGCTCTGCATAAATTTCTCAATAACATCGTATTTATTGGTTTAACTATCCTCCTAAGCAAACGCACGATAAATCACTATGTAAGACGAACGTTAACTGGCTAGCAAAAGGGGGCATAGCCGCTAAAAACTAAACCTGTCGTATGAGCAGCTACTGACGTAAACAAGAAAACGTACCTATATCGCGTACGTAATATCAAATTGAGCCTTAATACAAGACCTTTTGAGTTACCAACAGGTGGGTGTGTCTGCTTCATAACCAAACGGTGATGCGTGTTAAACGTTGAAAATTTTAGCGCGGAGGCCTGGTTGGGATACGTCATGCCACGCATTTAATGTAAACAGTAGCTAAGTAGATGGCATAAAAAACAAACGTATTTGTCGATAAAAAATTACAATGAATGAGTAAGTCTCAAATTCTCATTAATTTATTAAATGTTTAGATCTAAAGAAAATTTTACTATATAAAATTCAGCTCGGTCATGGTTTCAGGCAGTAAAATCGAGGAGATCAATGCCCAAAAAACATAATAAATGCTTAGATGTTTGGTTACAAAATTTAAATTGTTTTGTTTTCCCTGGTTAAAGTAATACTCGTGTATCAATGGTGTTCAAGTAGTTTAAATTTTTGAGACAGTCTTTGTTACTTAAATTAAAAAATCACAAATGTATTTACTTACTCATTTGTTATTGTTACCTATGTGCATTTTTTATTGTATGTTTTAGTAACAAACAATTGTGTCTAAGAGCGATACTTTTGAAACACTATTGTGACACGATTTTTACTTTAGCTCAGTAGAATCGACACCCTGTACTGTAGATAGGAATGTTTTAAACTTTCATGGTTAGTAACATTATAGTAATTTATGAAGGCACGTAGTACTGTCAATGTGTGTTACTCTATGATCGATCATCGCACTTGCAAAGTTGCAACAGTGCCAAAATATCGAGGGCGCAAAAAACAAGGTACATGGTAAATTCCCGCTAATTAAGTAGGTAAATTAAATTACCTATGGATAGTGTACTTGACTGGGTCTTATGCTTTGGAAATAGACCGTGACCATGCCTCATGTATGCAGTTCTTATTGTAGTACATAGCCATGTAATGATCTTATGCTGCAGATGATAAGATAAGAAATGCAGTAACTACTTAAATAAATATGAGGATTTTGCATAGGTAAGTATAGTTGGCCAAGGTAAAATTGCGAAAACAGTATAACAAATTAAACTTGTGATTGTGAATGAAACAATAACATCTTAGAAAAACATTTACGTAGGTTTCAATAGAAATGAGCACACGATGTTAAACTTTAAGAAATAGGTATATACCTATATAAGTAGATATGTAGTATTTTTAATAAGTACAGAGAATTTTAACAAAATTGGTTCGGTTCACTCATACTAACTTCACAGTGAGATTTATGTACAATTAAAAAACATCAAACAAAAGATAAAGTTATAAAAATAGTTTTAGTAAATAATTAAAAGTACATTAGTTAAGTCCTTGTGATTGTGATTGTGCAAAATCGAACGAGTTTTCTTCAATGAAATCATGTATGTACGTACACATAGAGTCATTCATATCTCTCTGAACATCAAGCGCACATCGAACCACAAGTCTTCCAAAAACCGTATGATATTTGGTAATAATTAACCCCGCTCGCGGTTTTTCTGTATAACAATTTCAAGGTGAACAGTGGTGAACAGGATGTAGAGTCGCAGACATTTGATGTAATATTTGCAATCAAATACGCAATACGATTATATTAAGCGCATTCTTTAGATTATTTAACTCGTATTCTGTAGATTAATTCTATAATTTATGGATTTTCCCATGGACCTATTCGAAACTAGTCAATGCACGGTTTCCCTAGCAATTCTACCTAATAGCACCGATTAGCAACAAAATTTGGCTGTAGTACTTATAGGTTCTACTTACCTTCTAGGTACTTCAAAGTTCTGCCGAGGGTTGCTTTTACCCTGGGGGTGAACAAACCTTCTCGGGGATGAAAATTATTTTATTAAAAATAAGAATGAGAATGGATAGACTTACTGACTCATACTAAACAAATTTTGTTCTATATTTTTTTTACTGATAGGCAATACGATTCAACTTAATCGAGAGTGGAAACATCACAACAACCAGAAAGCCACGTTTTTAGAAGGTTTTTCAGAAATAACTCTGTAAATAAGTATTTTTTATAAAAAATAATTCTGAATATTATAATAAAATAGTAGTTTATAAAAAAACAAATATAATACTGGATTTCAATAAAATATCACAATATTGAATACTCACGGAGTAATATAATAGTAATAGCTTGTTAAATGTTGGCTCTTCTTTGTGAAACGCCAAAATCGAAAGTTTCGACGTGAAATATTGCATTTTACATTTTATAACTCATAGAACTTTTCTTGAATTGCTTAAAAACCTTTATTTGTGTTTTTTTATGAAAGTAAATTAAATAAAAAAAATATTAATATAATTACTGTAAATATTAAGCGAGTTATGTTATAGACAAAATTTACCTTATTGTTATTGTGACAAAATTTGTAAATTACATAACTACTATGGAATTACTTATTATCTGTTCAAAGTATGTAGATCCTAAAAGTAGTTCTATTTGCATCAATTTCTAACAATTAAAATTGTTAAGGTTTCATAATTGCACAATTAGTGAGTTAACGTGTAGAAATTTTTGAAAAAATAGTTAAAAGATTTTTTTGCGGAAATATAACCTAAATCGTGGTCTGAATTAACTAGTAAAGTTCCTCAGGTAACTGAAAATTCACGGTGTATGTATAAGTATTTTTTTCTATCCGTTACCCTTGAGGCGTGTCACAGTGGGTGAAAAAAAGAGGTCCCCTTTCATAGGATTTTTGAAAAAATAAAAATGTATATTATCCGTTTAAGGTATGCGGTTTTATTGGACATATCACTACATTGAATAATAAAATAGTTTGGGGAATTTCCTTTTAATCTAAAACCATAAAGCACGGGCTTTAGAGTTTCAAATGTATGAAAACGGAATTTGTTTTGCTCATAACTTGTCTCGGTCTTCTACGGTCAAGCTGAAACTTATAGGGATTATTACCGGGTCTGTTACGAAGCCATGTGACCTTTGACCTTCACCCCGGACGGCCCCGTTCAAAAGATACGAATTTTTCAAAATGCTTATTAGGGTAATTTTGCTTTACGGGGTTATGTGTCTCAATAAACAGTTTGTTTATGTTTCTTGCCCAGCATTTAGTTATTAATATAACACAGATTATTATCTAATAAAACTACACAGTAGATAACGCCACCATACAACTTAACTTTAAATAAAAGCGTCCTATTCAAAAGATATGGAATTAATATAAATAGATAAAAGAAATAGTTTTAAGAAAAAGAAAACAAGAATACAATATTGTAAAGAATTACAATGAAGTCGTTTACAGCCTACAATTTAATCTTTTGTTTGACAATCGCTTAAAAGCCGCGCGCCATTAACGAGAGCATCATTACATATAAACAATACAAACTCTATTGTTGCAGGTTTTGAGGAATTCAAAGGGTTACCCACAGTCATTACCTGCCGTTGTTTGCCTATAATAATTAATTTTGTCAAACAAACATACTTACACTTACAATGTCTATCTAAGAAAGGGTTTGATCAAATATGTTTATTTTGGGATACCTAGAACTTTAACTGACTAAGCTTAAAATGAACAAAGTGTTTTTCCAGATAAACTAGCTGGTTATTAATATTAGTAAATGTAGTAAGGGAGATTCTGATATGTTACTGCCAAACGAGAAAATAAACTATTTACATTATGAATAAAACAAAATTATTAACATCAATATTTTTATTTACAAAACTTAAATTACTAACTAAGCTTGATATCATAAATTAAATAATGCATAATAAGGAAGCCACAACTGTATAAATTACTACACACATACAAGCTAAAGTATAAAAGATTAGTAGAACTCAAATTGGCTACAACAGTTCTTAAATAGTAAACTGTTTATATTAATATGATACAAAGATACAAAAAAATAAAAATACAAAGTTTGATATAATTTGATTTGAGGGAAAGAACACATACTAATCAAAGTCATAATCAGATACATTACCTACATCTACAAACTCTATATTTTCCTTATCTTCACAAGAAGTTAATAATAATGATTTAGCTTCATTTGTGAGAGGTTTATTTCGTTGACATATTTTAGGCCTGAAACTTGATAGGTATGGGTCAGACGATATTAACAAATTATTGATAATATCTTCATTTGTTGCAATCCTGCTAGATTTACGCGAGTGGAAGTTCTGAAGTTTTTAAAATCTTTGTTACGAGCTTCAGAGGCCTCTTCAGAGAGCTTGCCGATTGGTATAAAGTTATTGTGCTCTATTATATCGGCACCATGAATGAGTAATTTATGCACGCTTGAGGGCATATAATACCATTCATAGAGCTCGACATATTTGCGTGCTGTAGCAGCACAATATTGGCGGAATTTTTCCACGTCCACAAACTCTCCACATGAGATAGCCTGAAGAATCACTCCAAATCTTCTAACGAGTTCTTCATCAACACCCGTTATTTGAGCAGTAATTTGAGGATTAACAAAAAATCTTCTTGCTGTGTTTCCATCGTTGCTTGTACCAGCCCCTTGTTTAACAACGTCCACAAGTAGCCCCGTTTCAGTCCGGAATTGTTCTTGAATAGCCTTTTTTCTTTGGCTTAACTGTTGCTTCAAATCTTCGCCCTTAGCTTGCCATTTCTTGAAGTCGAGACGGTAAGCAATATGTAAGATACATTCCATGCATCTAATTCGTGCATGGAGGGAAGACAGACCGAACTTAAACATGTCTACAGACTGGGTTCTCTGAGTAACCTTGTCGATATCATTCATTTCTTTTGGTTTTGCTTTGCATATATCGCATGTAGCTGTGGATGTATCTGATAAATGTGAAGTTATTTTACCATCAATCATCGTCATATGCAGAACGTGTTTTACATTTGCACCATCGATAACAGTTGGATGTAGAGCAGCAATTTCCGTATCAATTGAAGTCATTTCTTCTTTAACATTCAAATCGTTCTCTTTAGCAAACTTAAAATAAATGGGTCGACAGTAAAACGTTGAAGACGCTTTGGGGTTTTCCCATATTATTTCATCAGTACCATCTCTCACCAGTTTTAACGGCACAAATGAACACATGAAGATGCTTGAATCATCGCCGTCAATTTTTTGTTGGTAGTTGCTTTGCACCGTCAAACCCCCATTTACTGATAAGAGTCGAATTACTGCCAGTTAAATCAGTTTCCAGAGTTTTTAATAGTCTCTTGACCG